ATGAGATTGTTTTGAGTAAGAAAGTCCAGGACTTGATTGAACACTACTTTCTCCAGAATCTTGGCCATGAATGGAAGCAGGGATACTGGTCTGTAGTTTTCAAGTAGCGTATGGTCCAGGTTGGGTTTCTTTAACAGTGGGGTTACCCTAGCCTGCTTAAATGTAGTGGGGAATAAACCAGAGTCAAGAGATGTGTTAATTATGTGAGTCAGTGTTGGTATGACTGCAGGAGAGATGGCTTGCAAGAGATGAGAGGGAATGGGATCGAGTGGACAGGTGGTTGCATGGCTAGATAGCACAAGTTTGGACACCTCAGACTCAGAGAGCTGAGAAAAAGAGGTGAGTGTGTGTGGTGTTGGTGTTGTATCTTGCGTGTTTGTTGTAGGTGCAGCAAATTGAGCACTGATTTTTGCAGTTTTGGTGCAGAAGAATGTAGCAAAGTCATCAGTAGTAAGTGTGGAGGATGCGGGTGGAGGAGGAGGATAGAGGAGGGAGGAAAATGTTTTAAAAAGTAGGCGAGGATTAGTGGCATTGTTGATTTTCAGACGGTAATACGTCTGCTTTGCAGAAGTAACCTCAGCTGAGAAAGAGGACAGAAGAGTTTGGTATGTTAAGAGATGTGCAGGATTTTTAGTTTTCCGCCAAATTCTCTCCGCAGCCCGAAGTTTTGAGCGATGCTCACGGAGAGCATCCGAGAGCCAGGGTGCAGGAGGACTGGCACGGGCTGGCCTGGATGCAAGAGGACATAATCGGTCTAGACATGATGCTAGTGTGGAGCAGAGTGTATTAGTGGCACTGTTCGAATCAAGTGCAGTGAGTTTGCGAGATGGAGGAAGAGAGTCTGAAACAATGGTGGATAGTCTATTGGGTGAGAGAGATCGTAGGTTTCTGCGAAAGGTAACCAGTGTAGGAGTGTGTGGCGGCTCAGGAGTAATGTGCTCCTGAGCCTCAACCAGTTTAACTCAACCAGTTGAGTTAAATATTTTGTGCTTTGTTGAGTTATTTTTAACATTTATTTGGTTATTTATTAATAACTCAACCAGTTGAGTTAAATATTTGAATTTCAACAGATAACTGATTTAACTGACACAGAACAGCTGTATTAATATGCGTGCGTAATGTTGTTTTTGCGTTATAAAGTTTTTTGGTATTTTTTAACAAAAAACCTCAGTGTCGTGGTTTTTATATCAGTTTCACCATCCAGGACTATCTTTTAGAAGCGTTTGGACGTGGTTAAAATGTATTGTACATTGTGGACACTGAGTGGAGCCTGCTGCAGCTGCTGGACAGTCTCTACAGCACACAGAGCTCCATATTCTGCTCCATCAACAGAGGATTTTCTGCTTGCTCAGTTTATAACTGTCTGCACTTTGTTCTGTTTCTTCATTGTTTGTGATTCTGGATGTTATTTATTTAGCATGCAATAATTATAAAATGAATAGTAGTACTAGTAATAGTAGCAATATTAATACCAGAATGGAAAAAATATATATCATTTAATCGAAATAACCCAATGCATTGTGTTAAAATAACCCATAGTTGAGAAGGTGCTACATTAACCTATAATTGGGTTGTATGTTGGGGTATTTTTAACCCAACTATTTTAACAGAGTGGTAATAACCATGTTTTCCTCCATTGAATGTTAACAATTATTGAACCCCAAAAAACTGTCAGAGTAATTATTGCATTCTTTAAGAATAGATTTTCCTCCTAGGCATAACAGTGACGATTGTTTGGAACCTGCCTCATAACTAAGAGCTGCTTTAATCAGACACAGTAACCCACTAGGTATAGGCTTTATAATCGACTTAAATTCCATATACTGGGCAGGGAATTGATTAATATTTATAAAACTCATCATATTTATCTTAATGTCTGCGTTATTCCATAAATATATTTTTATAGTGCTGATGCCTCACAGCAAGAAGGTCGCTGGGACGCTGGTTCAAAACCTCGGTTCAGTTGGCGTTTCTGTGTGGAGTTTGCATGTTCTCCCTGCCTTCGCGTGGGTTTCCTCCAGGTGCTCTGGTTTCCCCTACAGTCCAAAGACATGCGGTACAGGTGAATTGGGTAGGCTAAATTGTCCGTAGTGTATGAGTGTGTGTGTGTGTGTGTGTGTGTGTGAATGTGTGTGTGGATGTTTCCCAGAGATGGGTTGCGGCTGGAAGGGCATCCGCTGCGTACAAACTTGCTGGATAAGTTATCGGTTCATTCCGCTGTGGCGACCCCGGATTAATAAAGGAACTAAACCGACAAGAAAATGAATGAATGAATGAATTTTTGTGGGGTGAGAAATTGTGGTTGTAAATCCAGGCTAATAGAGCTTGTTGATGGAATTTAGCTAATTTAATAGGTAATTTACCAATGGAATAATTGCACTTCATTAAAAAAGAAAGGCCACCAATCTTTTAAAATATATTGTTAGGAATAAAATACCACAGGGATTCCTTGGAAGCAAAGACTAAACTAACCTAGTACGAGAGCCTCTGGTGCACATTTACGAAGAGTAAACGCGCCACCTTGTGGTCCTGCAATGCGACTTTTTCCCAAATACTGTGACTAAAGCAGTGCACTGGTACTAATAGCAATATGCAATAAAATATACTTCGATTTTTGTATCCTTACTAGGCCTATATAAGATGTTTAATTTTTTTTTAACATTATCATCATTTATTTTGTAGGTGACGATAAATTATACAAATTTCAGATATTTAAAGTAATATTAGCTTAGGCTGCACAGATTGTTTTAGGAGTCACGTTTAGAATTATCTAACATCTAAGTTGCATGCTGCTAGTTGCATTAACATTTTAGTTGCATGTTTGTTTAACAGTTATTAAATATTATTAAGTAATATAATGTCTGCCAGAATTAAAAATAAATAAATAAATAGGTCACACTTTACTTTGATGGCCCGTTGTTGAATTTAAGTTACATTGCATCTACATGCCAACTAATTATCATTAGATTATAGACTGTTGAGTAGACGGATGGAGTTAGGGTTGACATGTTTAGCAGCAGTAGCTAGCAACAGATAGCCTATTAAGCAGACAGTCTACTAATACTCAAATGGACTATCAAAATAAAGTGTTACCAATAAATAAATCAAAGAACATTGAAAAAATGTAATATATATTAGCAATACCTTTTTAAAGAACATTATGAAAACTCTAAACAGTGGCTAGGCGACGGGCGTGGTAGTACCACCAGCTGTTCACCAATCACAACACGGTAGGACAGCAGCTAACCAATCACAACACATTTAGATTTTTTGGAAGGCGGACCTTTATCAAACCCGGAACATGGCATGCCGCTTGTGAAAGTTCTAGGGGAGGAAGGTACTGTAACACTATAAATTAATCATGCGCTTTTCAGACAACAAAGCGTAAAAGTATGTTCTGGCACACCTGAAAACTTAAATAACCTTTTTAAAGAGCTACATAAAACCCCTTTAATAAAAGGTGTCTCTGATAACAATATGGTAGGGGTTGCTAATGTATGCATATTTTTATTTGTGTTTTTTTTTAAGTGTTAGTAGTGTATGTATATATTATTAGCAGTTGAAACTAACGGAGAGAAGATTTCTAAATATAATAGTTTTAATAACTCATTCCTATTAACTGATTTGTTTTATCTTTGCCATGATGTCAGTAAATAATACTAGATATTTTTCAAGACACTTCTATACAGCTTAGAGTGACATTTAAAGGCTTAATTAGGTTAACTAGGCAGGTTAGGGTAATTAGGCAAATTATTGTATAAGGATGGTTTGTTCTAAAGACTATCAAAAAAATATATAGCTTAAAGGGGCTAATATTGACATTAAAACGGTACAAAAAAACTGATTTTATTTTGCTGAAATAAAACAAATAAGACTTTCTCCAGAAGAAAAAATATTATCAGATATACTGTGAAAATTTCCTTGCTCTGTTAAACATCATTTGGGAAATGAAAAAATCAAAGAAGGCTAATAATTCTGACTTCAACTATATATATATATATATATATATATATATATATATATATATATATATATATATATATATATATATATATATATATATATACATACACACATACATACACACTTTTAATCTAATGAGCTGAACCACCAAGCAAGAGTAGTTGTTTTTCATATTGGCAATAAATGATGGATGAAACGAATAAGCAGATCTGGAATATATAGCGTGGTGAATTTTTAAAAAAATCATGTTACTAATACAATGATACTATATTTCTTTGCTTTTATTAAATTCACTGCAGCATCAGATATAAAGGTACAAAACCTTTTTTATTAAATTTTTTGAACTACTAATGTATAGCTACATGCACTATGTACAAATGTGTAAAAAGTACAACCTCAGTGACAGCTTTTGTGACTTTATTTTTGCTATTGTCCTATTCTTACAAATTTTACTAATATATATATATATATATATATATATATATATATATATATATATATATATATATATATATATATATATATATATATTATACTGAAATAGTTCAGATGAATGATGAATGAACAGTGAATAGGTGTGTCTGCTGTATATACTGTAGACCTCCATGCATTGCCAGTTACCACGCAACACTGCATATGTCTTGAACTTATAATCCTCACCTAGTTTCCAAGGCAACTTGGCTTTTGTTCAGCCTTGGATTCTTGGAAGAAAACAGAAACTCCCCTGATTACACCCATCCTTAAAACACATGAAATCGGAGTTTATGCACCTCAGATGAACCCAAGTGCACAACCTTCAGACCACACCGACGCACTAATATTGACACAATCGGATAAGAATGTTTCAGCATACTAGTTAACATATTATTTATAGTCTCGCCTCTGATTAAATGTATTTCCCTATGGATATCGGTGCATTTGTTTGTATTATGAGTGGGTGCGTCCTCTTCTCAGAAGTACAGAGGAGGGTTTAGAGGGGTGTGAGAGTGTATTTTTTAGCTCCACCTTAAATTCCTGCTTGTCTACCAACTTCCTCCACACAACTGCAACTTTGTGCCATCAGCTACACCACGCAGGTATTTATGCCTCTTTTAGCCTCATTTTCAAAACTTTATCAGCACTCTCTGGATTAGACTTTGGTGTACGTGTTTGCATATTGATATTCAAACATGTGTATTTATGTGGTGGGTTAGTTTTGCCTAATGCAAACAGTAGGTGATGTCGACATAAAATGGCATCCTGTGAGTTTTACAGATAGTAAACAAATGGCGCTTTTGAAACTAAGAGCTGAAGTGTACTTTTGCTAGCTTTAAACACATCCGTTCATGAGATTCAGAGGCCTGGTGAAAACCACATGCCTGCTGACGAGTCAGAACTTGCAGTGATGCATTGTTTGCTACGTTTGAGTGCAGATTACACAATAATCATTTTTTCCTCAGGGAATACACTGATCTGGAGTTACGGATGCTTACATGCAACGTTTACACGTAAAAATGTACAGATATTCCACATATTCACTTCATAAGCCATAACATGTCAGTATAAGCCATACATGTCAACAAAACAGTTCATCTTCATAGAGCTTCATTTGATTTAAAGGAATAGTTCGCTCAAAAATGAAAATTCTGTCATCTTTTACTCACTCTTTACTTGAAACAGTCCTGTTTGACTTTCTGATATTCTGAAGAAAGCTAGAAACCTATGGACGTCAATAGAGAAATAGAGGTTTCCAGCTTTCCTGAAAATAAAAGAAACCACAAAGGGTGGGGGCGGTCATAATGGTTTGGAACCAATTTGGGTGCAAGTAAACTGAGAGTACATTTTTCATTTTGGCCAAACTATTCTTTTGCCTTTCTGTGAAACCAGTGTGCATTTATTATGCTCTGCACAGTATTTATTATTAATATCATATTATCTAAATCATCACGCATTCCCTCCGGCTCCATTCACACAGTAAATGTATGGGTGTGGTGGGTGGTTTCGAGGACAAATGAGTCATCAGCTCATGACAAAATGTAATGTAACACCAGGGGACCAATGTGTAGTTTTTAAAACAAATATTGATACAAAAAATGCATGGGTGGTTTTAAGGAGATACAGCATTACCTTTAGCACTCAACTGCACCTATTATTTTCCCAATGTAGTTGACCGGTTAAACATTATAACCAGGGTGCGAATTACACATCGACGATCGGGGGGTTGGGGTCTACTTTTTCAGTAGTAGTTTTGTAATACATGCTTCAGTGAATCAAATTTATGAATGTATTTAAATTACATCTCATTTATTAATGAAATGTATAGATTTTTAGTGTTTTTAGGGATATTTAGTGACTATTTTAGAGGTTACTGTTGGTCAAACTATACAAATTATGTCTAATTTTTCTCTTTTGTTTGACTGCATGCAGATATAAACACCTATTTTACATGAAACATGTTTTGTAAATACTTAAGAAGTCTATGTCAGTGCTCTAGAACTGCCAGTTTCCGGAGAGGTTAAAATCGTACGTTTTTAGACGACTGAACTTGTACGTAATCGTACGAGTCAGCCGATAAACTGACAAAAAGTAAAATACTTAAGTTTCCTCGTGCGATCTGGCTGTAAGATTTAAGATATAAATGAGAGATCAGAGAAAGCTATTTCTTACTATCAAAGGGCTGACCTCCCATACATCTTGTTTTGATGTCCTTTAGGGTGGATCAAGCGTTAATTAGGGGTCAAACCCCTCTGTAATTTGCACCCTGATTATAACAAAGATTTTGTCAAAGTCTATCAATGTCATATCTTTTAGATGCTTTTCAGCAAAAACTTCCAGAGTTCTTCATATAAAAATCAATTAACTGGCTTTTATATTTACTTAGGACAGTGTTTCTAAACCACGTTCCTGGAGGAGCACCAACACTGCATGTTTTGGATGTCTCCTTTGTCTGTTACACCTATTACAGGTCTTTCAGTATCAGCTAATGAGCTGATGATCTTAATCAGGTGTGTTTGGTTAAGAAGACATGGGCTGTTTCTCAATACCAAGAACACAGAGAAAACTGCATTTTGACACATTTTAGACATGTCGGGGACACCCCATAGGCTATTTTTAAGTGACCTGTTATTTTGTAGACATATAAATCCACTTAATATATCAAAATAAGTGTCACTTGGTAACAAATATAAGAAAAGGTACTGAGAGAAACAAGCCTGAACAAGAATACATAACAATTCATACTATACTGTAGCTACAGTATTCATTTATTTATTTAGCTTTGTCCCTTATTTATCAGTGGTCGCCACTGCAGAATGACCCTCCAACTATTCCAGCATTTGTTTTACAAAGCGGATGCACTTCCAGCTGCAACCCAGTACTGGAAAACATCCTTACACTCATCACATTCACACACAAACTCATACAAGGCCGATTTTGTTTACCCATACTGCATGTCTTTGGACTGTGGGGGTAACCGGAGCAAACCCATGGGAAGAACATGCAAACTCCACGCAGAAATGCCAACTGGACTTAAACCAGTGGTCTTGCTGTGAGGCGACCGTGCTAACTACTGAGCTACAGTGCCGCCCCGCTATACAGTATATATAGCTATTCACTTAACATTTGGATGAAATAATCTTTTATTTTTGGACAATTCTAAAGTATTTTTCCTAATATTTCTAAAATAATGAAACACCATATTTCCTTACCCTATAAAATAAGTTGTACAGAATTGTTTTTCTAAAATATTTTATCAATATAGAAAATAGGAATGTTACAAAATGTTTGACAACTTTTTTATTCACTTTAACTTTTTTATTTAACTGGGTAAGAACTAGAACAACTGCTGCATTTAAGATTGTGAAATTGCTTTGAAATATTTCATAAAAATGTGTCTCTCAGTGTGTCTCTTTACTGAAATATCTATTTTTTCCTAAAATGAAGAACATTTTAACATAAAAAAAGTTTAAATGTATGGCAAAGCCAGTTATTGCACAAATATTACCTTCTGTGAAATACATTTGCTCTTACTAAATAATTAGTTAGTCCTACTAGGTATAGTTATAGTAATAATAGAGTATAATAGTTTAGAATATAGTAATGAAATTGAGTAATTATCAATATTAGCTAAATAGCAAGGAACGGAAGGGGTATTTATGTAGCACATTTCATACACAATGTTAATTTAATGTGCTTTACATAAACTAGAAGAACTACAACAACTTGTGCATTCACGATTGTGAAATAGTAGCAACATATTTACACTGGAAAAAATGATTCAATTGGATTTACTACATTTTTAAGGCAAGTGCTTGAAAATAATGTTTAAAAGAGTTGAAACAAATCAATTAAATATAGTATCGTTCAAATTAATTTCTGTGTTTAAATTCAGCTCAAATCAATTTGTGTCTCTTAAGTGAAAGGTTACAAAAGGAGGGTGTATATTGATGGCATAAAAGAGCTCAAATCACCTTTCAGTTCCTACAATAACCACACTTAGATGTGAAACTTTCTTCAAATATCTATTTTTTACCTAAAATAATGAACATTTTAACATTAAAATTTTTTTTTAAATGTATGGCAAAGCCAGTTATAGCACAAATATTACCTTCTGTGAAATTAACAATGTCTTCTCTCTGTTTCCATTTCAGAAATCATGGATGTAAGTACATCTGGTGACGCTTCAGAATAATGGTCTGCCGTCAATACATAACTGTGCAGAAAGTAACCCAAGACAAATATGGAAATAAGTATAACTAAATAATAAGTGACAGTGAAGTTAAATAGAACAAACATCACTAATCAACAATTACTGTACAAAATCAACTTCATTTAGAATCTTTAACTAACTGCAAACAATTAATGTATTAAATAATAATTATAGGAGACTAAGCTGAAGGAAGGTGGTTCATTCCGCTGTGGTGACCCCTGATAGAAGAGGGACTAAGCCAAAGGAAAGTTAATGAATGAATTAATGATACTTTTTTTTAACATTTACTTCCAGTCATTTAGATTATTTGGTAACACTTTACAATAAGGGTGCATTAGTTAACATTAGTTAATGCATTAGTTAACGTGAACTAACAATGAATAAAGCATTTATTAAGCATTACCTAACCTTTGTTAATGTTAACTATACATTTATTTATGTGTTAACTAATGCATTAGTAAACATGATCTAACAGTAATTAAGGACTTTGTTCAGCATTATTTAATCTTTGTTAATGTTTATTTACACATTATCTAATGCATCTCTTTACATGAACAGCTTAATTAGTTCATGTTTACTCACTCATACACTAACGCGTTTGTTAATGGATTAGATCACTTGATCTTATAATAAACAACACATTTATAAAGCAATACTGAATCCTTGTTCATGAAAACTTAGTTAGTTAACGCGTTAGTTAACATGAACAACATGTTAGCATAATTGGTAAAGCTTATAATAAGTGCATAGTTCCTGATCAATGTCAGGGACAAAGGAGGTCTTTTTTGGAGTGCATTACATCGGAACCTCAGCTTTGACTGTTATTCATGTTAGTTAACACTTTACTAACATGATTTATCATGCAAGTCATTTCACTCGGCGGCCATCTTTAAAACGCCTCTCTGGCTGTATGCCCGGGCATTCTCTTTGAATGGGGAAACATCGAATTCTATAAAAACTGCTTGCCAAGCTTACGATTAAAATCCGTATTATGAATAACCAATAAAATTAAACAACAACTGTCTCTTTAGTTTCATTTCTAAATGTTCTATCACACAAAATCTGGTCTGAGCCCCTCCCCCGGAGAATTATCCTTCAATAGCGATCGCTGATTGGCTACTGTACTAGAAGGCGAGCTTTACTTGCCATATATCGATCACTGATTGGCTCCTGTACTAAAAGGCGGGGCTTCATTCGCCATATTGACTGTTACACTTTTCCCCATTCAAAAGCATACAGGTGACATGTCTTGTGTATTCTATAGTCTTTGTTAATAATTAACTTAATAGTTTTTCATAATTACTTAATAGTTCTAAATGAGGCTAATGTTATTTAGTAATTACTGATTAGGCCCACACAGAATTTTTAGCCCATCATTGAGTCTATTTATTTACTTGTGTATATTTGTGTACATTTTAATTTAATCAGTGTTTAAATTAATAATTTTTAATAATTTTTTAGTAATATTATTGACTTATTATTACTGATTTATTTACAATGCAGTTTGTAAAGTCACATTTTCTGACTTTTAGTAAATTTGTTATATAAGAGACTTGCTTTTTTTACCAAATAAATGGATCTAATTGGATTTACATTGTAAACATTAAATACATTTATTTGATTTCACATTATTTTTATTACATATACTAAGTATTTTGTTTAGAGGCTCCTAAAATCATTCCGCATAAATCCACAGATTTGTTTTACAAAATTCTGTGGAAAAATAGTAAAAAACTATCCGCAGATCCAATCTGGGCCTACTGATTATTTATAAAGAATTCTTTTAGCCACATTTGCTCTTACTAAATAATTATTTAATCATACTAGTTATAGTAACAGTAATAATAAAGTATAGTATTGAATATAGTAATAAAACAGTATAATTATTCATAGTAGCTAAATAGCAAGGCAAGGAAGTTTAAGTAGCACATTTCATACACAATGGTAATTCAAAGTGCTTTACATAAACTAGAAGAACTAGAACAACTTGTGCATTCACGATTGTGAAATAGTAGCTGCATATTTGCATATTTACACTGGAAAAAAATTCTTCTTACAATTAAAGCTAAGTTTAAACAAACAAATTAAATGTAGTAATGTTCAACTTCATTTCTTAGTTTAAATTCAGTGAAAAAACTGTACAAAAGCACGCACATCCCTCTTAACTGGGTGCTCAGCCAAAAAAACGCAAAAAGTGCAAATTAAATGTTAATCAAAGGCAGCAACACCAAGGCTCCAAAAATACAAATTTATTAAATTAAAAAGGCTGACTTAATTTAATACATTTGTATTTTTGGAGCCTTGGTGTTGCTGCCTTTGAATAACATTTAGTTTAAATTCAGCCCATATAATAAGTTTGCAGCCTTACCTTAAAAAAAAAAAAAGAGTATATCCAATAAATATATTTTTTTGTGAACAGACCATTTTTCTGAAGTCTAACTGTACATTTTATCTCCTCATTAATTCTATTTATCTACTTTGACACAGTAAATAGGATGCTATAATTTCTGTATATTCTGTTTCAGCTTTCAGATGCCCTTGATGCTCCTCTACAGCAGAACAACCAGCAGGCAGGAGGCCCAGTGTGGCCCGGCCAACCAGCCAACCCCGTCTGGCCTGGTCAGCCTGCTAACCCCACCTGGCCCGGGCAGCCAAATCAACCTGCATGGCCAGGACAACCAAACCAGCAATGGCCTGGACAGCCTGGACAACCGACTGCTCCTGGGTGGCCTGGACCTGCACCACAAACCGGCCCTTATGGTGCTCCTGGACAAGTTCCACAAGTGCTAGTGAGATCTCTTACTCTTCTTGGATTTGTACAGCTTGCAATCAGTTCATTATATACAATTTAACCCTTTTAAAAGCAGAAATCTAAACAATGTTTATATATATGCAGTTGAAGTCAGAATTATTAGCCCCCTTTGAATTTATTTTTCTTTTTTAAATATTTTTTAAATATTTCCCAGAACAAGGAAGTTTTCACAGTATGTCTGATAATATTTTTTCTTCCGGAGACAGTCTTATTTGTTTTATTTTGGCTAGAATGAAAGCAGTTTTTAATTTTTTAAAAAACATTTTATGGTCAATATTATTTGCCCCTTTAAGCTTTTTTTTTTTTTTTTGATAGTCTACAGAACAAACCATCATTATACAATGACTTGCCTAATTACCCTAACCTGCTTTAAGCTGTATAGAAGTGTCTTGGAAAATATCTAGTCAAATATTATTTACTGTAATCATGGCAAAGATAAAATGAATCAGTTATTAGAAATGAGTTATTAAAATTATTATGATTAGAAATGTGTTGAAAAGATCTTCTTTATTTTAGTGGTTTATTGAAGGTGGGTCATTTTTGATTAAATATCAGATGGTTAAATATCTTGTTTCAAATGTTGCATATTTGACGGTTGTTAAAGTGAACGTCTTTTTGTTGTTGTTGCTAGACTGTGCCACTTGATTTCCCTCTACAAAATGGAGCCTATAACAAGATGCTCATCACCATCAATGGAGAAGTCAAGCCTAATGCTAAACAGTAAGAGGAAGAACAACACACATATTGGTATATGGGTCA